CAACCTAGTAGCGATGGCCTCCAACCCACTAGTGATGGCCTCCAACCCAGTAGCGATGGCCTCCAACGTACTAGCGATGGCCTTCAACCTACTAGCGATGGCCTCTAACCTACTAGCCCCTACTAGTGATCGCCTCCAACCTACTGGATGGCATCCAAGCTAGTAGTCATGGCCTCCAACCTAGTATTGATGGCCTCCAACCTACTAACGATGGCCTCCAACCTAGTAGCGATGGCCTCCAACATACCAGCGATGGCCTCTAACCTACTAGTGATGGCCTCCAACCTACTATAGCGCTATAGCGATGGCCTCCAACGTACTAGCGATGGCCTCCAACATACCAGCGATGGCCTCCAACCTACTAGTGATGGCCTCCAACCTACTATAGCGATGGCCTCCAACGTACTAGCGATGGCCAACGTACTAGCGATGGCCTCCAACTCACCAGCGATGGCCTCCAACGTACCAGCGATGGCCAACGTTTCCAACCTACTAGTGACGGCCTCCAACCTACTACTGATACTAGCGATGGCCTCCAGCCTACCTAGTTACCTAGTAGCGATGGCCTCCAACCTACTTGAGGCGACGGAGGTGGACGAAAGGTAGAGGTTGGAAGATTCTGAGCAGGAGCAAGCAGCCAGTAGCAGCAGCAAACCAGCAAAGCAGCAGCAGCGGCAGCGGCAGCGGCAGCAGCAGCAGCAAAGCACCAAAGTTCACACAAGTTTGGCCTCCACAACCCTTGGTGTTCGTTCAGTTTCGGGGGGTCTGCGCAGACGAAATTGAAAGAAGTCATGGTCGAGGGCAAAGAAAGAAAGCACCAACAGTGCCCGCCCCAACACAGGCAATGCACAACCACCCCAGAAACAGCAGCCATTCAAGCAACAGCAGCAACCAGCAGGAAGTAGCAACAGCAACAGCAGCAACACCCCAACAGCAGCAGCAGCAACACAAGCAACCAGCAGCAGCAGCAGAAGCAACCAGCAACCAGCAACCAGCAACCAGCAGCAATAACAGCAGCAGCAAACAGCAGCAACCAGTGGCAACGAGCAGCAGCAGTAGCAACAGCAACAGCGGCAGCAGCAGCAGCAGCAACCAGCGGCAACGAGCAGCAGCAACGAGCAGCAGCAACGAGCAGCAACCAACAGCAGCAACCAACAGAAAGCAGCAACCAGCACCAGCAACAGCAGCAAGCAACAAGCAACAATCAGCACAGCAGCAAGCAGTACAGGAAGGAGCAAGCAGTACAGCAATCAGCAACCAGCAGCAAGCAGCAACCAGCAGCAGCAGCCAGCAATAGACCACACAGATTGCAATAGACCACAGTGGATAAACCAGATCGCTCCCAAATTCTGAGCAGCGCAGGGTGGAGTTGAATGGGGGGGAGCTCCCCAAAAATTTTAAAAACCTTGTCTAAAACTATCGAAATCAAGCGCAGGAACAATTCACCACCCACAATACATTGCTATAGCAAAAATAACTCGGGTAGCCGAATCTACCTTTCGTGAGTACCGATAGCCTCCTATGTACTAGCGAGGGCCTCCAACCTACTGATGGCCTCCAACCTGCTAGCGATGGCCTCCAACCTACTAGTGATGGCCTCCAACCTAGTAGCGATGGCCTCCACCTGCTAGTGATCCAACCTACTAGTCATGGCCTCCAACCTACTCGTGATGGCCTCCAACCTACTAGACTACTAGTCATGGCCTCCAACCTACTAGTGATGGTCCTGCCTATTAGTGATGGCCTCCAACCTACTAGTGATGGCCCCTGGTAGTCATGGCCTCCAACCTGCTAGAGATGGCCTCCAACCTACTAGTGATGGTCTCCAACCTACTAGTGGTGATGGCCTCCAACCTACTAGATGGCCTCCAACCTAGTAGTCATGGCCTCCAACCTACTAGTGATGGCCTCAACCTACTAGTGATGGCCTCCAACCTAGTAGTCCAACCTAGTAGTCATGGCCTCCAACCTACTAGTGATGGCCTCCAACCTACTACTGGTGGCCTCCAACCTAGTAGCGATTAGTAGCAGGTGAAACACCCACCCCGTGTGTGGAAGGGTCCCCCGAAATGAACTCGCTCATCTGACGCAGGGCACCCAGCTCGGTCTCCGCCTTCCACCACGGGGCCCCAGTCGCAGCCCAAGGCATCGTTGCAGCTGCTCGCATTAAAGGAGCCCAGGGGACAATAGAAGTGAAAGGCATTGGCTGTCGGCATGTCCACCTGCAAACGACTCTACTCCATGTGACCTGCAAAAATGGAACGAAGAAGCCAATAAGACATGTCAGAATTAGGCATAGGCATCCCAAATGGTCGATATTGTTGTGGAAAAAATTGTACAAGCATAGGCCCCAAACAGCTTCAAAACGATTCGTTTAGACCAATATTAGTCAAAAATCGATTTCTTGGTACGCCCTACTTTCACCCCAAGAGCAAACTGCTTCATCAGTGAATTTTTGTCGGCATTGACATCGCTTTGTTCGGCCACACTCCTCTCCAGTAAGCCGGGCCACAGAGACCAGCCACAGAGTTCAGGGGCGCGGCCAAGACAAGGACAAGAGGAGGACAAGACCCGGACACAGAGCCGGGCCACAGAGTCCAGCCACAGAGTTGACAGGGTTCAGGGGCGCGGCCAAGAGGAGGACAAAAGGAGGACAAGGCCCACAGAGTTGACAGAGTTCAGGGGCACTGCCAAGAGGAGGACAAAAGGAGGACAAGGCCCAGCCACAGAGTTCAGGGGCGCGGCCAGCTCTTTTCTTTCTAAGATAGAACCCCAACAGTAAACTGTTTGGGGAAAAACACTTATTTCAGCATGTAGCAAACCCTTAACATCCTCACATCTCTGGCATTGCCCTTGCCTCAATCGTTTTCGTCTCTGCCACTCCCACCTCCTCATCCAGGTCACTCTGATTGCTCATGGCAGGGCCGGCTCGAGGACTGTCTTGGGCCTTGCGCCACGCATCGCGACTGAGGAGATAGTGGTCGCCCATGAGGAACCAGAATCTGTTTCAGACCAAGCTCTAGACCTAAAGCAGGCTCGATCTAACACATGAGCTGCATGAGTGCTTCGACATCCTCTGAGTCCTCTCTCACCCGTCCTTCCCTCCTACTAAAACCACCATAACTCCCAACTGCCGCTGTCCCATGTCGAACACCACAAAAAACAACCTTCCCGCCCCTTTCCACTGCCCTGCTGCCCAGCCACCCGGATGCCCCGGGCGACCAAGTTCACTGCCGGTTCCGTCACAGGCACCTGTCGACTCGCTGCCGTGCGCTATAGTGGATGCCACGACTAGTAGGTCAGGTTAGAGGCCATTGCTAGTACGTTGGAGGCCATCGCCTGCTCCATCCTGCTCCACTTCTCCACTTCAAAGTTCTCATTTTGATCATATTTGCTATCATCTGCTCCAGCTGATTCGCTCAGGCTCGTGCCAAAAAAGTTACATTAGAAACCCTGCACCCTCCTAAACACCAAAGCGATGTCAGCATCTTCGGCTGGTGAGTTGTTTGTTGCACACTCCTTACCTGGGAAAAAACACCTGGAGACTTGAAGATCCACACTATGCTGAGGTCCGAAAACCCGTCAACGTCCCACTCTCCGTCCTGGAAGAGCGAGGCCGGCAAGGGCCAAACGAAGAGATCCTCCGGGTCGCCGTCGGTGATGGTGGCCACCTGGCGGCGGCTCGAGAGACCTCGACCCACCGGACGTCACCGTGGAGCGAACCGGGACGCGCCTCAACGCGGCTGCGCATCTGATCATATTCCACCTGTGAGCCGAATGAGAAGCGGAGAAGGAAGCAGTTCTGACATTCAAGCTCCTCTCAATCGATGCCAGATGGGCATAGAATCTATAGAATCTATGATTCGGCTCCTGTCGGATTTGGACCGAACAAGATGACACGCCGCGGGAACGCGGGCCACCGTTTTGAGACAGAGAGACTCGAGTGCGGGGCCTCGAGTGCGGGGAGGTTGCCCATGGGACGCCAAATCCAGAACATCCACTCATTCACGGACTCTTCACCACCTAAGGCCGCGCGGAATGCGAGAGGCCGCTGGTTGGCCCAGCCCGGGAGCGGAGAACGCTTGAAAAGCGGAGAAGTCTCCTTCTTGGGAGGTCCAACGGATGCGAAGCTCGGTTCAGAGCAGAAAGTTCTTCAGAATTCTTCAGATCAAAAAAAGGCCTCGAGTGTTGCAGTTCATCTTCTTACTCTCCGAATCATGTTCAGGTCCCACCGTCCTGTCGGCCAAGTTGCTGGTATATGAGTTCAGCCACCAGCCTTCCACAAAGACCTGTGAAGCGACTGTCCACGATTCGTGACGGTCGACCAAAACATGTCACTTCCAGCTTCCTCGACCAAAAACATGCGTCCAGTCGACCGCCCAAAACGAACGCTGGCGGCGCCTTCGTGCCGCTGGGCATGGTCACCTGATTCAATGCCTCGCACACCTCGTTTCCCCGCCGCAGACCGCTTGGCACCGAAGGGGTGCAAAAGGGAAAGGAAGCGGAATGGACGAGACGTGCACCTGCGGACCGTGACCTGCGCAAAGAATTTGCCAATTGAATATGCCTGCTGTTTGGCTTCTTGCTACTAGTAGTAATGGCCTCCAACCTAATAGCCATGGCCTCCACCAAGTAGCTTCTTGCTACTAGTAAGCTTTTTTGACTTTTTTGTCATGTCACCAAACAATTCTCAGTCGAAGAGCAACCGCTGTTGCAGTCCCCGTGGGCTCCTAATGACTGGTGCTCCTGAACCAAAACCTTTCACCGGGCATCCATGCACTGCACTTACTCCCTGCGCCCTGGCCAAGTCACATGCCACTCGTGAAAGTTCCAGGTGATCCAGTTCTGGGCGTTCAGCGTGAAACCCAACATGGGCCCCAAAGGAATGATGTTTCTTCTATGGCTCTTCCCAAAGTCTTTGGAAATCTCCATCTTTCCTGATCTCTCTCCCTCTCTCTCCCTCTCTCCCTCTCTCCCTCCCTCTCTCTCTCTCTCTCGCTCTCTCGCTCCCCTCCCTCCTGGGCAGTAGAGTGGTTATTGGCGAGGTATGGAGGAGGAAGGTTGATGGAGCACTCTGAAAATATCTCCGAAGAGTTCTCCCAATTCGGCCTTCGGCCAGAACTGGACCAGGCCGGACTAGACCTCAATCCCGAAATCGACGGTCTTGCTGCGAGCACCAAGTGTCCGTCCAGGTCACATCGTCCTGTGGATCCTCCCGAATTCCCAAGCGCCACTGGCCGCCGTTCTTCGAGATGAAGCGAGAGATCTTCACGATCCTCAGACAGAGTTAAGAGATGCCATTCGAACTCTGTGCTTCCCTTCAGCCCTGGTGGGTTGTCCATGTTGTCCAAAACAAGAAACGCCGGGGTTGATCACAAAAGGACAGGGGCAAGTGGTCTGAGGCGAGTTCCGGTTCTTCTCGGTGTAAACCAGAGTAAAGCGTAAATAAAGTTTGAAAGCCGGCCCAACTTTAGAGAAGCTCAGGGCCCCTATGTGCGAAGCCCAAGAGCCGCTATGAATGAGTCGATGGTCTGCAGTCTGCAGGGCTTCGTCGAGCCCGCTACGACCGGTCTGCCGCCCCGTCCGGATCGACTGCCAAGGGTCTCTGGCCAACTCTTTCGATCGGCCAGTAGCTCCCTCTGCTGAGCAGTGAGGTTTGAAAGGTCCTGCAAGGGTAGACGGCCGAAGCGTTCTCGCAGGGTAGACGGCCGTGGTTGGAAAACGCATGACCCTGGCGTATTTGGCAAACCATTCATGGCACTTTTGGCACTGTTGGCACTGGATTGACTGTTAGCTCTATAGATAGGAGAATCGATGTCGACAGCTACGTCAAAACTCCAAATGATTTTTTCGCTCGCTTCGAGGCGGAGTGAGCAAGATACACCTGTAAGATACACCTGTAAGATACAAGGCGTAGCCTCAAGAAAAACCCAACAAATCCGGCCGTCTCGCTGTCTCGCTCCCCCCTCCGGTCCGGCTTATGGATACGCAGACCCGTTGCCTGGAAGGCACGACCTTGGGCGGTTGCGACTCGAAGTCGAAAAAAACCAAGGAAATGCACTCAGAAGCATTCATTCAAACTCAGAAGCATGCACTGCCTTGTCCGTCCAATTCCCTATTGAAGAGGTCGCCCCCTTCTTCCTCAGTGTTTCTCCGTTTTCGGCATCGAAGGGCGCGATCTCGTTTCAACCGTGGCACGGCGCCGGCGGTCGCCGAAGCCCGGCCGCCAGTCCTCGCTGTGCACCGAGCGCTTCATGAAGAAGCGACGCTCGCCTGCCGTCCGCGGAGCGACGCCGCGCTGCCGCGCTCCGCTCCGCGGTGGAGGAGATGTCCGTGATATGCTGCGGAATGGAAACCGAATAACAAATGCCTCGGTGTGTCCGGTGTGATTTCGGTGTCCTTTGGGTTGGAGATGCCTGTGTGGAAGGATTCTGAAAAAGAAAGATAGAACAGGCCACGTTTGAGACATTCCTTGAGTCTGGGTCCATGGGTGGAGCTCAACAAAAACAGGATCAAAAGCCGTTTGAAATGTCACGAAACTAGATGAACTCTTGGTTCCCAAATGTCTCAATATTGTTCCAAAATCATTGGCTTCCCTATTGGCTCACCGATCTCTCGGCACCTTGTTGTAGCGGCACCGTGACCTCCGTAGGCGTCCGCAGGTCCAAGCCCTGCCCGTCGAAGCTGTCTTTCACGTAGCTGCCCACGTGAAGCTGGGCCGCTCGGCCGATCGGAGCGGATCGAGTCGAACACGACGTGGTCGCGGGTTGTGCCATGACGAACGAGTAGCGATGGCCTCAAAAAAACCGACTAGCGAGGACTTCTAGCGTTCGTTTGCTTCTTGTTACTAGTAGTCATGCACTTGTGTTACGAGTATGAACGAACCTCCTTCCAAGTAGTTGCTGATTGGGAGAGTCCGAGCATAGGGATGCCACACTCGGTCCTTGTCCGTAAAGGAATCTACCAAGAGACTGTCGCTGACCAGGCTTCAAGAGGTCTAGTATCACTAGCAACTCTCTGCGTTGCTCGTTTTTCAGAGATCCTAAACTGCAGACCAGCTGCCCAGTATGGCGTGGTATGATGACGTTCGTTGTAGAAGATGGAGCAACCCGCGTGGATCGCCCTTCGGCGGCTGTGTGTCCTGTCTGCGTCTTTGGCCATCGCTATCAGGTTTCAAGACGACAGTTATTGATACAAAAGTTTGAATATTCGGTCCATGTACTGTAGTAGCGTCCTTGCTCCAGCCCCTAGTAGCTTCTTGTTCCTAATGTTCAGATGCCTTCTGGTGACAATTTTTAACGGCTCGAGCTGGTCCTTCAAGGAGCCGGCTCGGGGCCGCTCGGTGAGGGGCCGCGCAACTGACGACTCGGTGTCCCGGTTGCGATGTCCACCGATGAACCGGAGTTCTCAGCGGTTCGGGACACTGTTCGGGACGCCCACGGTCCCTCTCCTGCAGCCGGTATGGTCAAGCCGTTCGGCCACCTGGATCATGTCTGCCGGGTCGGTGGACTCGCTCAACCACACGTCCTCACCGAGTCGAACGAACACCCCGCCGTTCGTTTTTTTTTTCGGGTCGGTGGACTCGCGCACGGCCAAACACCAGAAGTTTGGCGTTGGGGTCGCGGGTCCTCAAGATTGAAGTGTTTGTGAAACATGCACAAACCATGGGTTGCAGTTTCGTCATGGGAAACTGCGGGCGGCTTCAAGCGACATTTGCCTCTTTAACTGCATGTTGGGCCTACCTCACCTCTACTACGAACCATCCTTTCCGGCCGAAAGGGTTTCCGCACGAATCCCCGTCCTGGAAGTTTCGTCCCCAGGTCATGAAGGAATAATCTCCATCGAAAGGCGCCACAAAGAAACCCATGATCTCCTCCACAATGCCTCAGACTGGCTGCGCGAGTGCAGCTGCTGGGCTGCTGGTGCCTGGTCCCTACTTGCCGTTCGTCGTGGTTTGGTTGCTGCTTCCAGTGGACCACCGAACATCCACATTGCAGCGATACAGTCGCAAATCCACACAACACACAAATCCTGCGGTGCTCGTCATGCTGACGTGTGAAAACACAATGAGTTTGCACACAGTTTGCCTTCCGTCGACAAGGCACAAGGAGTTTGCACACAGGAAATCTACACTCGAAACAGGCTTGATGCGATCGTGCAGTCTTGAACAGAGTCTTCACCATCGGCTGAAATGGCTTGACGTGCCCGTGCTGTCGCCGAGCTGCCGTGCTTTCCGGAGGCCTCTGCCAGGGTCTTGAACGGTGCCTCTGCGAACGTGACATCGTCGATGTCGGAGCAAAGCCAAGTCGGGTGCTCGACATGGAGTCGGAGTCGGTGGCTGGTTGAAGGGAACAAAAAACTCCATCACTCCATCTGCTTGGTAGAAAGATCTCAAAAATGCTTTTGTCCTCGAGCAAGAAGCTACAAGTGGCTCCTGGCCTTGCTACTAGTAGCAAGAAGCTACTAGTGGCTCCTGGCCTTACTACTAGGAACAAGAAGCTACGAACGTAACAAAGTGCTACTAGGAGCATGGACGCTACGAACGTAGCGATGCCCAAGACATTTGTGCAGACTGAATCATGCCAGCCTCAGGATCGTAGCTCTGCATCATCTCCGGCACATCGCCCGAGAAGTCCGCCCGCTCCTCACCTGGGCTACAAGCTGGCTCCAAAGGCGGGCTTCATAAGCTTGACTCATGACTCCTAGATTGTCCATGTGTATGTTTCCAACAGGCTGCTCAGAAGAGAACAGAGTCCTACAAGTGCACCTTTTGACACAAAGTCCCACCCAGATGTGGAGCAAATTCCCACTGAAGCGTGTTCCCGCAAAGCTCGCTTCCAAAGTGCTTGAAACGTTTTCTATCCCTTCAAATCTACTTTGGAGGCCATCGCTCCTCCCGTCCGAGGCACCGAAGGCACCGCGCATCACATCGCTTCGCACCGTCTCCATCATCGGACGCCTGGACCGGTACGCCGCGCTGGAAGCGCACGCACGCCGGAAGGCGCTCGCTTCGTCACCCAAGCTGACACCGAGCTGCTGCTTCCGGTACTCCGGGTTCAGTGAGGCATGCAACGCTTGGAGACCAGCCCTGCGAACACCGATGCGACACCGATGCGTCACACCTCATTGGGTCAGTCCGAAGCGGCTGGAGCCCAACGCTATCAGCTTGGAGGCCTTGGCTCTTAGGTTGGAGGCTATCGCCCTTAGGTTGGAGTGACCTGAGATGACCTGAGATGATCTTTGAGTGATCGATGTTGGTCTTTGACCAAAATCGAAGTGAAGTCCATCAATCTGGGAGTGGAAAGAGAGAGAAGTAAGAAAGAAGCCATTTCCGTTGCACAGTTCAGGGCACATCATCGCTGTCAGATTCACTCGGACAGCTCACCTCCATTCATTGCAGCGAGCACTGAAGGAGTTCTCAGGGGGACAATGGTTCCAGACCTGAGCGTTGGAAAGCACATGCGCATCTATTCACGTGGATAAGGAGTATCTGTTGCTTGTTCCATGTTCCACGGTCCAGCGGCCACAATACAAAGTACTACTAGCAATATCTATCTCCTGATCTTCACTTTGAAAATGGTTTTATGAAAGCCTTTTGGAAGGAAGTCTAGCTACGTACCACAGAAATCCACAGAATCAATTGGTGGGTCAGCCGATAAATCCACAAAACATTGAAAGGCAATACCACAGCTCCTGTCCAAGCAGCACGTACCAGCACGCCACGCCCTGCCAGAACGACAGCGGATGGGGCAGTACAAAAGTTTCTGGATCAGTAGACCGCTTACATGAGGGAGATTGAACCTTCACTGATGTTAATAATTCGGAGCGCACTTTGGCACTTTGGCAACCTGCTGCAAAGGTTAAACAAAAGGATTGAGAGTGACCCTATATTTAAAGTCTCGTTCGGCCATAGTCTTCCCGGCGAAGGTGAGTCCACAACAATCTCCTTCAAATCCGCCGCATCATCCCCTGTCTGCATCTCTCCACCCTCTCCCAGAAAAACACTCCACTCGCCGCACTCGCCTCCCGGATGAAGCCCTGAAGGTGGTGGCGATTGGGGCGCCGGCCGCGTAAGCTCAAAGACTGTCCAGTAACGTCCACGCCAACCGTCCACCTCCGTCGGCTCCATCGGTTTTGAAACAAAAATCTGCTCACTGCTTCACAACAGGCAAGTGTGCAGGCTTCCCCGGCGTACTCGCGTGGACTCGACTTGACTATATAGATTGGGATGCGTTCTGCACTAGTAAATAACCTAAACAACGACGCTCCACTTTCTGCTTTGGAAGAGAAAAGGAAAAAGCGGCGAGATAAGGTTTCGTCTCTCAAGTCTTCACCATCAAATGCTCAGTCGATCGAGCACGCGTGTCTTCCCAGCATCGGCCTCAGGAGTACCTCACAGACAGGGGTGCCAAGCCGAATAGAAAATATTATTGTGCCAAAAGTCGCTGAGCTTGTGGGCACCTAAACATGTGTTTTATATTGCACTGCTGTGTTGTTTTTAATTGTTGCGCTTTGCGAACAAAGACATGTCCTATGGCTATGGGCTGTCCTTGCGCTTATGGTGGCCTTTGGTACTTTTGTATTTTTGCTACGCGCCGGAAGGGAGGCAAAGCTATTCTTTACAGGATTGACGCCTTGCCAGTCCCCGGGCTCAGCAGCCAGCAGCTCGAGACTTCTTGCATCAGCTGGCCCTTTGCACCGAACACTGCACTTTTGCCACCAGGCCATTCAGGCCAGGGTGGGTGGGTAGCTCCTCTAGGGATGCGATTTCCTCGTGCCTCTTGTAGCTTGGTCTTTGTGCTGAATTGCAACTCTCCTTCCCCATGACTGTCAACATGATGGCCACATCCTCATTCTCTTCCCCTCTCGTGTCATCGGCTGCCCATCTTCCACCTACTCCTCAAGAGCCGAAACTACGCAGAGTGCGCTGCCACTCCTGAACTGATTCCGCACTGGCTTTGAAGCTGAAGTCCTGAATCCTTCTTTCAAACGCCAATACTTAGGCATGCGGGGGACGGAGGCATGTCATCATCCCAGTCACTGTCGGGCCTGGCACACGCAGCTGAGAGCCTGGCACAGTAGCTACAGAATTGACAAATTCCCCAAAAGGGGCGCAAAGACATAGAAAACCGAAAGGTTTTGGTGGAGCAATTGGGACAGGAAGTCTTAGAAATTGACCCAAGAAAGAGCTATATGACAAGGAAACCCCTGGTCGGATTGCTTGGCAAAAGTCAACAAAAGGCGCCTGCCAAACGGAACGACGGTCAAGCAAGACCTCGTGGTCCACCCCAGCAAACTCCTGAACTCAAGCTCCTTGCCAATTTCTGATGGAACTGCCTCGAAGTGGCCAGCCCCCAGTGAAGTACACGAAGTCCATCACTACGGATGCTCTTCAGCATGCGTTCTTCCTGACAAACACGAACGACATGGCCACTGCGCCTGGTCAAGACATGTTGTTGCAAGAATTGGATGTCAGTGGGCCAACCAGTTTTGGGACCGGGCCACTCAATCTCAACAAGGGTGGGGCAGACTAGCTCGACATGGTGCGGAAAGAGTGTGCAGGCTGTAGGTCAACACCCAAGCAGTCCAACGAGGAACGCCGCCATGATGAAGATCGCCGTCCACTCCAAACGACAAAGTCGTAGCTCCATGGCCACCAAGGAGCGAGCTGCACCCCCCCCGCGGCCCACCACATCTACGCTAAAAGCCACTGCCGTGGCAAGGCTCGACCCCAAAGCTATGAAAAATACCTGTGCCTCTTTCTCATCCCGCTCCTTGTCAGCTCTATCCCACACTCAATTACAGGCACTTATGTTAAGATCCTTCTGGTCAAAAATGAACACTAATTTGTGAGAGGCTTGTGCTATGGATGATCAAAATGAACGTGGGCAACTTTCCTTGTGCCTAACATGACCTGGGCCGCTGTTGTTATGTTTGATTCTTTTTGGTATTTTTGGCGTATCTTGTCTGCCCCAGAAGGGAGGCAAAGCTATTTCTCACAGGATTGGTATTTGTGGTGCTATCGGTGCGCTATCTGTCCAACACGTGTCGGAATGCATCACACAACCTCAAAAAAAATACACACACACAAAAGTGCAAAAATCGAAATAAGTAATCTTTGGAGCCTAATACTTACTTCTTTCCCGGGCCACAAGCAAAGACCCGCCAAACACACATGCGCACAAACACACACACGCACAGATCTTCAAGGGTTTTGGGTTTAGGGCTCGCCGACACAGGCTGGCGTCGCTGCAAAACTTCTAGTTTGGTGCCAAAGTGCTCCAGAAGGAACTTTAACTTTGCACAATACTTCGTTTAGATAAGCTTATCTTGCTGGAGGTTCTTCATTTTGCTTCTTCTTCTTGTTCCTGCTCCTTTCTTCTTTCTGCTTCTTTTTTCTGCTTGCTTGTCTTCTTCTTGCTCTGCCTTCTTCTTCTTCTTCTTCTTCTTCTTCTTCTTCTTCTTTCTTTTTTCTTAATGTTGCTTGGCCAATGGGCGAAGCAGCCACCTATTTAGGTGAAGTGTCACTTGCTGTCCAAGCTTCATGATCGGCCACCCGACTCTGCACCATCGTCGCCATAACCGCTGTTGTCGTTGAAGAAAACCTTAAGGGCTACAAATAGTTTCAGGATGTTTCAGGTGCCATTGTTGGAGTGCACATGCGACCTGCCAAGAATTCTATACTCCTTTTCGGTGGCCGGAATTACACCAAGAAGTCGGACAAAAGCGCAGGTCGCGACTCAAAAGCGGCCGCACTTCGCCAAGTGGCACAGCGCATTTCATACTTCCACGAGGCTTCGAAGAGGAGGCCAAAGTATTTGCACTGACCCCCAGGAGTGTCTCAGAGGGTGCGATCGGACACTTCGGGATCTGACGCGAAAGGCACCATCCGAAGGAAACGGTATTTTGGATGACCAAATCCTCTTGTTGGGATGACTCATCGGCATCATGCAAAAGGAGCCCTGCTTCTCACTCACTTTCTTGATTTGTCATATGCATCGTCGGTTGGAGTGGGGGGATTCCACAACCTCAACTTTGCTTCATGCTGATTTCGTGAGCTCGTCACACTGCCACACACAATGGAGTTCGCCATGACACTGGCCCGGTGGGCAGAGCAGTAATCTGCGCACTGCTGCACGCTAGCACCTGCCCATCAGGTCTATTGCTAACGCAGCATCAAAACTTGTTGTGGAACGGATTGATACCTTATTCAATGGTTCCATAGAGGTTCAAGGAGGCGTGCCTGTCAAGCGTCCCGAAGTCAAAGTTGCCGTGGCATAGTGAACACTACCTCAGCTCCACGGCTTCTGAGATCAACTGAAAATCCCTAAACCTCCAACCCAATAGCAATGGCCCCCAACCTGCTAGTTACTAGCGATGGCCGCTGGCGGTGGCCTCCAACCTACTAGCGATGGCCTCCAACCTACATAATGGCAATAGCCTCCGACCTACTACCAACGATGGCCTCCAACCTACTCCAACCTAGGAGCGATGGACTAGCATGGCCTCCAACCTAAGAGCCATGGCCTCCAGCCTAGAAGCAATGGCCTCCAACTTAAGAGCGATGGCCTCCAACCTGGCCTCCAACCTACAGTAATAGCGTCGGAAAGATGGTAGAGACAGCTTCATCTGTCAAGGGATTGCTAAAAGCGACACATCGCTCCCTTTTCCGGATTCCTGTTCCCTGTTTCCCAACCCTGACTGCTTAAGAAAGACCGAGAGTAGGTCGATTTGCCGAAGCCAAGTTGCCTTTACATCTCAAGCCATTCGCATAAAGGATCTTCCAATTGGGGCCTGAAGTTTATGAAAACAGGGCACCACACTCATGCGTCCATAGCTGTCACGACAGCTTTGCACAAGGCTTGAAGACCGTGACTCACGACAGTTTCAACAGCTCCTGTGGCTCCTACAAGCTACAGCTCGTCTGCGTCACTTCCCCAACGCCCAGCTGGCCCAGCCGGCCCCAACCCAGCCTTGCTTCACTTCGTCAATCAAGTACTTCTCCATCGTCGTGGCTAAGCGATAGACTCCTGACATTGGAATCACTCTCCAGTTCTTCTCTTGACTTGCTTCGATGGACCAGTGTCTTGAAGACGAACTCTAGTCACTGGAGTCGCTTCCAGCTTCTCAATGGTCCCTATCTACAGAGATCATCCTCTATGACTTCCCAGCAAATCTGGTCGGAAGTGGTGCTTGGGGGCGATGGCATTCGCACAGTTCCAAATCCCCTCCATCACTCGAAGTGTTTGATTCCAGCCGGATGGTCTCATTCCTCTCCTCCCACTGATGCAGTCTTAAAATTCCGCCGGCGCGACGAAGTGGTGGACCTGATCAAGCAACCTATACGGTTGGACAAGTGACTGCAGGACCTACCAGGGTCTGTGAACCTTTTGCTCCTGTTCACTCAAGCAAGCCGTCGCAGGTGTGAACTCCCGAAATTGCGGAGAGAGACTCGATGGAGCTAGCCTCATCCAAATATCTAATAATTAACAAATGGGAGAAGGCCTTTATTATTGGATTTCATTGGCAGTACCATGTTGTGCACACTAGCAATGCATGCGATGTTGTTCCTTGTTCCCAGCATGCAAGCTTATATATATATAGTTATATATCATATCTCATTCATATCATAACATATCATATCGCAGTGGATAAAGCTATTCCATATCATATCGTATCCCATGATACTCCAAGCCCTGCATGTTTTCGAGCAGCTGCATTCCAAGCGGCAGCACGTCCGTCTGATCGTCGTTCAGGTCTAAACACCAAGTGCACCAGCCCACCTCTCGCTTGAAGTCAAAAACTCGACAGTTCATCCAGAAGCAGTTGTCCGCGCACTCCTGCCAGCCCGCGCGGTTTTGCTGTTCACTGAATTGGTCTTACTTCTCCCCAAGAGGGGAAGACAGGCCACGCGGCAACGTCACCGTCTTCGCTCCGAAAGCTTCGTTCGGTCTACGCCCCAAAGCCGTTTTCGAAGCGTTTTCTTCGCTTCGTTGGGTCCTGAAGGCTATGCGTGGTCCCTAATCCAAAGCGAGCTCCATTGCACTGGACCTTCTCATGAAGTAACCTCAGGACACATGGATCGGAAGCGCTGAAAAGCGAAGAGTGACGGAGTGGCACCTGCAGGGAGGCACCAGTGTTCTTGCATCACTCCTCCCAGTGCTCCAGAAACAAAAATAGGGCAAACCAGAAGGACACTGCAAGTGGGTCAGCTTCTCTAATCCTATTCGGGCAAGTTGCCAAAGCACCATGAACAAGTCAGTGTGAAGGAGAATGGGGAGGACAAAGACCCAAAGATCCCAAAGGCATGGACTTCTCCAACCTAACCTCCCAACCTTCACATCTCCACCATCCCAGGCGCTCCATTCGGTCGCTGATCTGCCAGGCTCTTTGGACTGACCGTGAAGGCGTCCCTATGGCAAAAGTCCTCGGCGCACAACGCTGACCTTCTTCCACCATGCCGGATGTGCTAAGGAGCCATGTCTCGATCCAAAAACCGTGGATCAGTTAGTTGTTCATGTTCTAATGATTCACAAGCAGCTCTTCTGGAACTGCGGACTTGCAAGTCTCGTCTGCGCCCAAACCATACTTCAACCCTACCAAGTCCAAACAGCCCGGTCTCTCATCCCAAAACCCTGGTGCAATGTGTGTCTCAATCGTTTTTTCTCTTTTCTCCAGTGATTCGAAGAGACCACAGGTGTTTTTTCCGATACTAGGAGCAAGGACGCTATTAGGGGCTCCTGGCCCTACTACTAGGAGCAAGGACGCTGTGAACGGGGCTTCTGGCATCGCTACTGGGAGCATTCTTGCTGGTAGCAAGGTTTGCTACTAGGAACAAGTGCCACGCTAGTAGTAACAGGTGCCTTACTAGTAGTAACAAGAAGCTACGAACGGAACAAGTGCATCGCTACTGATCTCTTGCGCTGCCAACCGCTGTACTCACCTCCAAGCGGCCCTGGGCCCGGGCCGATGCGCTCTGAGCGCAGCCAAGCCTCGGCTCAGAGTTGGCGGCTTCAAACGATTTGACCGTTTGGCACACGTGCTGTCTATACGGACATGTGAGTTTGGCACCTCCAGCTCATGCCTCTAAAGATCTAGAAAGCTTGTGGAATTGAGATGGATTAAGTGATGTGACTGGATCAGATGGCCTCAAAAGCATATCAAAAGCATTGTCCACAGAATCTTGATCCCAGGTCGCACAAGCGCTTTCAATCGGAATCGTGTTGGATGCTGTTTCACTGCATCCTTCGTAGGCCGTGAGCATTCAGAGCATCTTGAGACGTCCAAAACGCTTGGAGCGAGGGAAACGTGGGACCGAGGGAACCGTCTGGGAACTGAACAGTCAGACCGAAACGTCCGCATGCTGGGCCGAGGCTGGCCTCCGCCATCCCACGGGGGGACGCCGTCCACACTGACGGAGCTGAGGTCCGGGCCGTTGCCCAGCTGCCCAAGGGGAGGCGCTTCGGCCACACGGGGGAACGTTCGCTGAGCTTCCCCGCCAGACAGCTGACGGACTGACAGCGACAGGAAGGCGCTGTTCATTTGGCATCAAGAAACGAAGAAGGCGCGTGGCCTCCAACCTAAGAGCAATGGCCTCCAACTCTAACCTAATAGCGTCAAGAAACGAAGAGTTCCAAAAATCGTCAAGAAAGGTATACATAGAGGTGGATGATCTAGACCGAAGATCTTGCACCACCAATGATAGAAATAGAGGCAACAACACAGAGAAGATGTTCGTGAGATTTTCCAACGGGTTGGTGGGAGACTCCGAATCGGCCTGATTGTTGCCTCTCTTCAACATGTCCTGCACTGAGCTGGAAGGCGCTGGAGGACAGGGTGACTGAGCACTGGTACCAGGCAAGGCATCCAACTGGTACAAAATCTGGAAGAAGCTGACGGAAACACTAGGCTGGAAGCTTCTCTGTAAGGATTTCCCAGCTCCTTTTTGGGGTCCCACAGCAACTCCGCAGTGCTCCGCAGTCCCTTTCAGTGCTCCTTGACTTCGCATGGCACGCCATCGATGAGAACCTCACAAATTGGATTCAGCAAATCGAACCAGCTTTTGTTGGCCATCGTCCCAAGCGAAGTGTACAAACGCTAGTAGATTTGGAGGCCATCGCTACTAGTAGCAAGAAGCTACTAGGGGCTCCTGGCCTGACTCATAGGAACAAGGTTCGCTACTAGGGGCTCCTGGCATCACTGCGAACGGAGCAAGGACGCTAGTAGAGGAGGCCAAAACGCTATTGGGTTGCAGGCCACGCTTTTCAAGACGCCGCGACGATGCGCCTTTTCGTCGTCTCTCCCCGTTTCCCCAGCCTCGTGGCGCGAGGCGAAGTCACCTTTGCCGATTTCCAAGGCGTTGGCCTCCAGCGTGATCAGGCTGCCACCAAGACGCCCCACCTGACACTGCATCTGAAAGGGTGAGCTCTCAATAAACATGTGATCATTGATGATCGTTCGCGTACCAACCACTGCCATCCTCTACCAACATGTGGTCAGTCTTAGAGGACATTGGAGAAACAAACTGCCTTCTTTCCCGCCTTCTTGGTCTTCAAGGACTGCAGAGTTGGGAAGACCTCCCGAGTCTCAGACTTGTCGCGTGACAAGTCTAGATGTCCAACCCTTGGCCCCTTGGCACGTTTGATTCGTTTGATGTCCAACCCGTGCGTCACGTTTGGCCTCCGTCTCCCAGCCTCCAAGACATATTCCCGGCCCTCGAGGTTCACCAAAGGAAGGCCATCAACCTGGTCAAAGGCCCCGCCACTGCATTGGAACAAAAAAAACCACGTCTGGCCTATAACAACAGGCAAGCGGAATCGGGTCGGGTAGCCCAATATATATATATATATACTGTATATTAATATATATATATAATATATTTTTTGTATTATACATTGTATACTATACATTATACATTATGTATTATATTATTGTTTTTTCTATTCTATTATATAATACTATAAACCGTATATGTATACACTATATATATATATATTACCTATATTATATATAAATATATGCTAGCCCCCCCCAAAAAAAAAAACAAACTATGTTTTTGAGTCCTGGTGCTACTCCATTTGATTTTGCGATGCGCCAGAGACAGATGTTATGATATGACAACAAGAATGTTGCAGACACATTTCTCAGACGTATTTTGCAGATGCATTTTTCCCTTGCAGGCAGACAAAGTTCACTTGGCAAAGTGCCAAGTGCACAAGATACCAGAGGCAGTCCACAGATCAGAATTTCTGTGCCAGTACTCATACTGTGCACTGCGGATTTTCAACCGCAAAAGAGGACTCCCTACCCGGCAATGTTGATTCAATTGAATCCGATCTTTAAGAAAGCGCCAGGCACGATCAATGATCTGGGTACCGCCTTTGGTCTTGAATTGGCGACCAGTCTTTGGGTCCTTATGGGTGGCAATCTTCACATAAGTAGGCATTTTCCACACCCATTTGCCTTTGACCTTGACACGCTTTTTGCAGTGCCGCACCTGGTCGTGGAGAACGCCACTCACTTTCAGCTTGTACGACTTGGCGGCGTCCGTGTGGAGGACGATAGCGCGATCCTGGAGGTGCTTAGTGGCTAGAGGACGCCGCTCCATGTTCCTGATTGCACCTGGACCAGGCGCTCTCCGAGCAGACGTTTGGGGAGATAACCTTTTCAAAAGGAGTGTGTGTGGAGAACCCCGCTGCACAATGCCACACCACTGTTCCCAGATAATGGGCTGCTCTGGGTTGTCGGCCAACTGCTTCAGGTCTGTGCTTGAGAAGGTGGCTTCATCTGCCTCCACATCTATCCAATCCTTGCCATTTCCAAAGATAATTGACTGCTCCTTCTCTTCCACCCAGCCCTTGCGAAGATGATTCAGCCGCTTCTCCATATCTTCGATGGCCTTGCGGTTGAGAGCAAGAATGCGTTGGATGGCAGGGTGCGACACTCGGTTGAAGCAAGAAGAGCAAGGCGGACTGGGTCTGCAAAGGTGTGTGGCTAGCACCTCTTCCGTCCACAAAGATTGGGTGCAGGTGGTGAGTATTGAGGTATGCCTGACAACCAAACCGATTACAACGATGTCTAGGCATCCCGTGGTCAACATTGGGTTGAAGCTTTGACAATGTGCCCTTGTCACATCGAGGGCATCTCTTGCCTGTCCAATCTTGTAGAAGCCCATCTTGACGAAGTAGTTTGATGAGTTGGGTGTCACTGGCTTGCAGTAAGTCTGCCAACTTGCGCTTCCAGAGTACTTGGTCCATACGTTGCCCTTGAACAGCATCATCGGCACACACTTGACGCAACCCAAAATAGACACAAAATATTGCAAATACCAGCAAAAGTGATGTGAACATAGGTTCTTTTTGGGGGTACCAAATATATATATATATATGTGTGTGTGTGTCTGTCTATATATGTACGTGCCTTGTCACAAGTATAAACTAGTGACTAGTGCATACTCTTTCTACTTTTTAACATCTTTTCACCGAATGGCGGCCTCGTGGCCGTCACACATGCTGTGCTCGCAACGATTTCGACCAAGGCACATCCCAACGATTTCGCCCATGGCCATTCCCAGTTTCTCCATCCTGCATCACATAAGTGAAGTTGTAGTAACCTGCCGATGACAAGTGCTGAGCCTGAGCCCAAAACGGAGTCATCTCAAAACGGTTCTTCCGACTTTGCGAAACAAAGTCGCTCGGTTCTCTTCCAACGGAGTACCGACCTGCTGGAGTTCCCACAGCCACTTCGCACACCTGGAAGCTGTCCGACGTGCCAAAGGCGGGCTTAACATCGATGTCGTCTCATGAGGGAACTCTGATGGATCTCCATGTTGGTCCATGTTCATTCTTGGCCATTTGTGCAAGCCCTGTTTGATGTCCCTGCCAAACCAAATGTGCTGCGGCTTCTTGGGAACCCCAGCTCCATCATAACGCGTGGGTGTCTCGATGATGTCGCAGCGGAACTCCTCTCTTCCCCCTTGGTCGCTGAGCTCTGGGAAGGAATGAGAACATGTCACAAAGCGCTGAGTTCACGTTTGCACCAATACCAGCACCCCGCCTTTGTCTGCCAATACTTCAATGCCAGTGCCCAAGTAGGCATGCATGATCTCCGTAGCATTACGCTTTTCACCTCGACAGGCTGAGCTCGGGAAGCAAAAGTTTGAAGCCAACAGAATCCAACAGAATCCAGAGGAGGGAGACTAACCCCGCCTGTGTCTAGGAAAATTTCTTGCTGGTTCAATTCCAGTTCCTTCAGGAGATCGCCACTCCAGCTCACCTCAGTGCTTGGATCGTTAAGGCTCCAAACCCGGCGCAGGACGAATCCGAAGACATTGCACAACTCACTGTTTTGCGCTGAGGCCCCCGAGCATTGTTCATGACAGGCAGCGCTTGCTGTCGCACATAATTGATAAATGGCGTGAATCTGACACGGCAAATGCTAGGGATTGAGGCACTTGCAATGGCGGCCGAAACTGTCATCTTTACAGCTTTAAGGATCTGTCCACGTCTCCACAAAACATGGGAAAAGTTCCCACAACTTCTTCTAGGCTCACCAAAGCCATCAAAGTGGTGAAACCAACAGGCTTGAGAGTCTTTATGCAAAACCTGCCAAACTTGTCATTGCTTCAATCTGTCAAGTGTTCAGTCCTCGCGGCCTACGAACATACACAAGCATGTCAGGTACACACACCCCAAACTCTTCCCAAGTGTTTGCAGGGGCGGAGGCAAAGAAGTCTTCCAAACATCAAATCGAATTTGGAATGACTCGGCTTTGGAATGACTCGGCTTTGACTGGGGGTCTCCACTCACTCCGCGCTCAAGTGCCTCTCATAAGTCCTGAAGAGCTTCCCGCGCCATTGAGCGCGGTGACCTGCAACATGTGTCGCAAGAAGACAACATGTTGAACATGTGGGATTGAACATGTTGAACATCTGGATGTGTCTTCAAAGGAAGATGTTGCAATCCATTCTGCCACCCCCCATATGTGCTTTATGACACCCCAGCTGTGCAGTTCTAATTTGGGATGTGAGGTGAAACACTTCGGAAAATAATGCGAAAAAGGAACATTCTTCAACCAGACAACCAATACATCCGGTTTCTCCAGAATGCCTTCAGTGCCCCCTTCTACGGTGCCTGACGTAAACCACACTTCCACTTCGTGGCCACTGCGGCGTCCACGAACTCAGCAGGCCAGGCGGCCAAACGTCGAAGGCCATGTGTCAAAAAAGACTTCATAAAGTAACTAGAAGCGTCCTTGCTCCTAGTAGTACGGCCAGGAGCCCCTAGTAGCTTCTTGCTCCTAGTAGTAAGGCCAGGAGCACCTAGTAGTTTCTTGCTCCTAGTAGTAAGGCCAGGAACCCCTAGTAGCTTCTTGCTCCTAGTAGTACGGCCAGGAGCCCCTAGTAGTTTCTTGCTCCTAGTAGTAAGGCCAAGAACCCCTAGTAGCTTCTTGCTCCTAGTAGTAAGGCCAGGAGCACCTAGTAGTTTCTTGCTCCTAGTAGTAAGGCCAGGAACCCCTAGTAGCTTCTTGCTCCTAGTAGTATGGCCAGGAGTAGTATGGCCAGGAGCACCTAGTAGTTTCTTGCTCCTAGTAGTATGGCCACGAGCCCTTGCTCCTAGTAGTAAGGCCAGCAGCCCCTATTAGCAGGAGCCCCTAGAAGCTTCTTGCTCCTAGTAGTAAGGCCAGGAGCCCCTAGTAGCGTCCTTGCTCCTAGAAGCGATGCCCTTTGCTCCTAGTAGCGTCCTTGCTCCTAGAAGTAGAAGCATCTCAGTCACCAAATCACTGTTCCCTGTTGGCATGTGAGGCTTGGACGCTGTGGCAAGGCTGGTGAATAGCAAGTCAACTCACCATCCTCCCGAGAATGCTTCCCGCAGCTGTGCCGAAATGGCTCAGCTATATAGTCTCGTGACTGAAAACAACGTTATTGCCATAAAGGATTGATTTCTCCCCGCTATTAGGTTGGAGGCCATCGGTAGTAGGTTGAACGCCATCGCTAGTAGGTTGGAGCCCGGTTGGAGGCCATCCCTGGTAAATCTCTTTCGGCCAGTGGCCTTCCAGAGGCAAAGGTGAGGGTTTGTTGTGAATTCAAACGGGCCCCTGGAGAATTTCAAGACCAGAGGAAGCAGGGGGTCATGCCTTGTGCTATCAGATGCATAGGTCAATATGGAACTTGTGGAACTTGTGGAACGCTCACCCGTGCCGGCTCGTGCCTTCGTCATCGGCTCGAAAATTTGACATTCTTTTCCGCCAATAAGCACCTGGCCAGAATGAACAATGCACTAAAATATCGGTGTATCTCCCCTTCACCACAAAAGAGAGCTCGATCCAACCTCTAGGAACAAAGTCCATTGGAGATAGCTTAACTTCTTCAACGTCCAAACCACATGAAGCACAACCTCTTGAAGGTTGGTAGTTTTTCCTCGAAGCAATGGACCAAGAGCTTTCAGGTTCCTTTCCTCCCACACCGATTCCGTTCCCAAAACCGATTCCGTTGGTCCGAATGCGCAAGTCCGTCCGCTCGTCCGCTGCGTCCAGCCCCGTCACTTGCCGAATCTCAAAACCGGAACGCCAGACCGATGGACTCCATGGTTTTTCCTTATCCTAAACCCATTTCGCTCCACTTCCTAAACTCAAAACGGAATTCGTCCCAAGTGCTGTTTCGCATTCTGTGTTTGGCAGTGACAACACCTACACCAACAGCAGGTACGAAAGCTGCCTTCTTAGGTTCTTTTTTGGGGTGAAACTTTCATGACCTCATGACCCTGTTCTTTCTTGACCTCAGACCTCCCACCTCGCACCTCCCGCAGCTCACAAATGGCACCTGTGTCACGTATGCGAAGCCAGCGCCCGTGATGTGCAGCTCCGTGCCGCCCGCCGTGGAGCCATGAGGAGGCTCGACCTGAGATCTTCGGGGTGTACGAATTGTGTCGAAACATGTGTTTTCTTGAAAAAGAATCGACTCCACCTGAAGAAAGAAGGCTCGGAAAGAGGAATGTCGGGTGAAAACCGAAGTGTGACACAATGCACGATAGTGTTCGAGCCCCGATGCACGGAGCCAGGCGGGACGGGAGATGCTTTCAATTTTTTTTTACCGCCGCACCGTTCAAGTCTTATCTTTAAATCCATTTGTCCACGAATCGCATCGTTGTCGATTTCTGTGGTTGTCCATTCTAGTATTCACACTATGAACGCACGATAGCCAAGCTGCACCCAGAGTTCAAAGGCGCCGAATTGGTAGGCTTAGGGTTTATAAAGGTTCCTGCAGCGAAAAACTTTCACCTTAACCAATTGAAGTTCCAACACATTTACACGGCTAGATCTGATTCGTGTTGGGCAACTCCAAAACGAAAGCTGCGGAGGCTTCTTCAGGTCCGCCAGACTGTCTGATTCCATCTTCACATCCGGGCTCCCCAGCATCAAAAACGATGCCAAAGCCCTTCACCTCAGTTCGAGGGGATGGCCAGCCGTTCCAAGTCGTTATGGGTGCCAAGCATGGTCAACTGGAGGACGCTGAGGTGAAAAGTGATTCAATCGTTTGAAGTGTATTGAAGCAGCGAAGGAGAACCACTTCGTCAAGCTCTCTGGAGGAACAGTAACAGCATTGGTTAGCAAAAGGGTCCCCTTTGTCAAACAAAGGAAGAACACGCAGAGACGGAAGGGACTTCAACATCTTCAACCCAGTTGATGGAGCGACCTCACCAGGGCACCCAAACCCCAGCAGAGGCCAAGGTGGCTAAAGCGGCTAGAATCGTGGCACGCAAGCATCCTCGCGGCAGAAATCACAGACCTTTCTCTTGGCGGCAACGCCCAAAAAGGAACTGAGGAACGGGAAGCCTGAAGCAAACTTCACGGTCTTCTTACTAAAATAAGACAGCCAATGATCTCAAAGGACGTTCAACACTGAATTGATGTCGCAGTTCCACCACCACTGCCGCCAAGGGAGCCTCTGGTCGCGGCAAAATTAATCTAGAGCGAGTTCCTGATGAGTGTCCGATGTGCAGAAATAGGCTGGCCCGCTGGTTGGTTGGAACGCACCCCGAAACCCAACCCTGCCCTGCCTATCAACCGCATCACTTTCGCGATGCCCTGCACGAAGAAAAGTCTATTTTTAGATGGACATAAAGTTGGCTGAATCCTGATCAAACATAGAAGATGTTGGCTACCTTAGTGTTTCCAAGTCCTCTGTGCAAGCAAAGCATTTCTGATCATCTGTCCAATACCACCATTGACACAAAGAGTTCTTGCATGTGCTAACTGACTTCTGATCCAAAAGAGATTGACAAAATGCCCCTTCACGGATACTGGTGTTATCCCAAAGCCCCAACTCCCCACCTGGTGCCAACTGTGTTGGCCATGTAGCTGTCAAAACAGCTGCGTTTTCCACAACATGGAACGTGGTTGTGTGAGTCCAAGTCCAAACATGCTACTTTAAGAGTGCAATGGGCACCATGGTTTCAGTGCTACTCTATCAGAAGTGTTTACACAAAGAAAGGGTAAAACATAAGTCATTAGAGCGGCTATTGATTTGAGGGGTCTCTTGGCGGGATTAATCGTTTCTTGAGCATATACAATCTTAAATCTTGTTGTTACACTTTGTTATCATCACAATTGTGTCCAAGCTATACATATGTGGATTTCAAAAATTAAATCAACTGTGGTATATGTAATCTGTGTATAAAGTTTGTCTACAATTGCATAACAATTCTATTTCCAACACAATATTTGGAATAGCTGACTCTAGATTTTTAACATATTGCAATTACCTCGTGTTGTTCGAATTTGTAGTTTTAGTTCAAAAATGCTTACATAATATAGTTTCATGGCCCTCCATTTGTACTGTCTGCTGAACGATTCACAAGGGCGTGTTGCTCAAACAGCCTCTTTTCTCAAAAAGCGTGTTGTCCAAACAGCAACGGCTAGGGACACATGGGAGTCCAGGGAGAAGCATGTGAAAGATCCAATACAGATTGACAGTGAGTCTTTCATTGCGCTCCATTTCTACTGCTTGGCGGAGGATTCTCAGAGGCGCTTTTTTTGCACGGGCCGAGGCGTCACCTTAGACTAGTGAAGAGAGAGTTACAAACCGAACCAAAACACAACAAACACCAAACACAACCCAAACCCAGAAAACCGAAAGCCAGGTTCGCAACTCGAGTCGGCCATGTCAGCCAGTTGAGAAAGATGAGACAAGGGGCGATGAATTCAGCCTTTGCACTCAGTACGTCATCATCACGTCATTGTGTGATCTTCACAAGAAATGGCTGTTCAGCAGACTCGCGCAGCAGTCACAGTCTTTTGAATCCTTCGTGCAATGGTTTCTGCAGCCGAGATGCCATGCTTCAAATGAGGCTTCTTCAGCCAAGCGCGGTGTTGCAAAGCTTGTAGTCACAAAGTGCTTGAGCGGCAGCTCAAACAGAGCAATCGACACACTCAAAACCAGCATCACTCGAGTTTTTGCCTGCAAAATTGTCGGAACTGGACTGCTAGACACATGAGGCTCAAGGAAAACGGCAATGACGAGGACTTCAAATCATCGAAAGTTTTGCATGGGTCGAGGCGCTATGTGTGCAGAGGATGCACAAGTCACCTTAGGCTAGCAACAAGAGAGATGCGAACCAAGCAGGAAACAGAAAACAGAAAAAACCACACCAAGCAACAGAACCACACCCCAAACTGCAAGGTTGCAATGAATTCATCCGGTGCGCTCAGTACTTCATCATCAGGTCCTTGTCTGCTCTCCACCCAAGAGAGGCAATTTGACTTCCCCTCGGCTTTCGAAATCTGTTGTGTCCTTCGTGCGATGAGCTCTGGAGCCGAGGCACCATACTTCAAATGGGGCTTCATCAATCAGGGCACTGTGTTGCAAGGCATGGGTTGCAAGTCTGCGTGGAGGGCCTTCTTCAGCAAAGGCAAACAACACAACCGTACTCGGCATCACGCAAGTCACAGAGAATATGTCGAACCAGGATGCAGGACACATGCGGCTCAGGGAAAACAACTGTTTCAGCAGTCGAGGACTTCAAATCATCGAAATCATGAGACAGTGGAGCCGTGGTGTCAGGAGGTAGGGAGGTGCGATCAAGCACAGTTTTGGCAGGCCGACATCGCCCCCCCTAGAGGGAGGGGGAGCGGCAAACTTGCACATCCACGCTGCGACGGTGACTCCAAGAACAGCTTTGCCACGGGAGTCACAGAAAGGCAAAAGTTTCAAAACGCTCTCAGGGAGCCAAGTTGAGCTGTCGACTGGCGCAGTGGGCAACATGTGAAAACACGGAAGCGTTAGCGAACCCTTTTTGAATCCCGCTCTTCAGCCAAACATAACAGTCGGTTTGACTGTATGTCTGTTCGTCCACTCTTCTCTGAAGAGGTCTGACTGGTCACAGTCGTCCACAACATACTCAAAGTACAAGAAAGCATCTCCAAACACTCTCAAGCAAAGCTAGGCTATACACAGCTCATCCAAAGCACTACAGCTCTATACTTAGGGATCCCTACTCAGCTCCAACCCCAAGGACAGAAAAACGAAAAGTTCCACTACACAGAGGTACCACACACTGTACAGGCGTGCTACCCACACTTTTCACACCCCTTCTTGGGTCACCTCGTACCTTCTCCTGGTCTTCTTGTCTTCTTCTTCTCTTCAATTCGTTTTCTCTGAGCAACTAAGGTTCGAGCATCAACTAAGATCTCAACTCCTGTGGTCCAAACTGGTCTCCAGGTCGATCAAACGTCAACAAATCAAGAACGACAAGCTCCAAGCAAGTTCCCATCAAGATCAACCAATCAACCAAGGTTCAACCAAGCAAGACAAACATCAAAAGGTCAAGATCCCTCAGACAGCATGGCCTCAAGGAGCTCAAATCGGTCGCCGCACCAGCTGGTGGTACATGGGGACCAGCCGCTTTCGGTGTTGGTACACCGTCGGCCGCGGCCGGCACAGCCGCTTCACCCTCCTCCCGCACCACGGCGGTGGTCTCTGGGGGGCGCTCCATGTCAGTCACGCTGGCTCCAAAACGGGTCAAATCGAAACTCGAAGTTCACACAGCGATGCTTGCGCGGCAAGCTGATGAATTGAGCAAATGAATCACAGAAACCAAGCATAACCCTTGCTCTGCCAAACAGCACACGGCAAAAGAAAACAAACATCTTAACACAAAACCAAAAGGAACAGATGTTCTAAAACCCTCGAAACCGCTACAACCCTGAAAAGAAGAATATTCAAAACCCTTTTGCACAACTGATTCCAAAAACTCTGCAACAACTGAAGTCTCAAACTGTCATTCTCTGGCGTCTCAACCCTGCAATCCCTGGCATCAAAACCAAACAACTGGACATGCCTGACACTCAAAACCCCTGCTACTGCTACTCATGGTTCGCGACTCCTTATTGCAGCGTACATCAACGGTTTCAGTGTCTCAAACCACAAACGAAAAACCATTCGCCTGGGACAAGGTCGCCAGTGGACTTCCTTCTGTTGCCTTCTTAAACAAAAACGGCGGCGGGCGGTCATCATTCAGTTCCACTGTCTCAAGACGAGGAGAGCAGTCCAAACAAGGAAGGTCACAGCAAAAGTCTCTACAGTTCAAGCGTCTCAATTTCCTTAGGAAAGAGGTAACTATCCGGACGTTCGGGGAAGCAAACTGAATTCCTCAGTGAATGCTTATCATCCAGATTCCACACTGCATGCAAAAAGCAAATTCGGAAAAACTCAAAACACTGCACCACAGAACAGAAGGCTCCTAAATCAACAAGAAACAGTCATCCTACACCTCCGAACCTAGTCGGACCTCAACGACTGCTCTCGGACACGTCCTTCCACTAAAGTTCTGTTGACACAACGAAAGGTTCCAAATCCAACATGCTGCACTCACAAACCAACCGAAACTCTTCCGAACTCATCCGGACAGATCCGAACACAGACGGACAGCAACGAAAACACACAAAACAGATTCAGAAACTTTCCAAACACGAATTTTGACTTTGGAAAACTGTTCCGGAAAAAGTACAATCGACAAAGTTCAACCTTCAGCAGGCACAATGCCCAAATCTTCCGTCACCTTTCCGATCACCAACGGAGGAAAAATGCAAGAAACACGCACGATGAGCATACTCCCCTTCTCGAACTGAACGTTCACTGGTCGGAAGTTCGTCGTCATCGTCGTCTCGAGACAAACCCCTCAACAATGCTGACTTATCTTGATCCAAACCAGGTACCAGTCCTACAGCATTGCAAAGGTTCAGCCACATCTCGATGAGCTTGCAACTTTTCGTGAGACCGTCGGACGGGTTGGAAACACCTTCCCAGTGTTCCAAGGTCAAGCGACGTCGTCAATGGAGGTACTTCACATAATGTGCTCGCAGTTCCATGTGCTTGACACGTCGAAGCAAACCCTCCATTTTAGAAATGGAAATAGCCGCTTTCCCATCGTTGCGCAAATGCAACTTCATGCTTCCTGTGGTCTTGGCTGGCATGCCTATCTCGTCAAGAGGGATCCCAACAATCTGAAGCTGTTAGCAATGTGCACAGGCTGCTGGCCCAACCCAATTAAAATCTGGCGGGACGATGCCTGCTTCCAAGAATCAGCATTCAGGCAAGCATCGGTTTGGGTTAGTGGGGTCATTCTCTGTCCTTTCCAGGTTGAGGTGGCGCAAGGCTGCACATTTCTCAAAGGCTCGAGGCCGGAGTTGTGCTTGCGGGGCTAACTGGTTGCTAGTGTGATTAGTTGCTCCTATTTGCGTCAGAGAGCAGCATGCCTCAAAGACCTTAATACCGAATTGCCTGCACCCAGGGGCCAAGGTTGTCTCAGCTCCATGGAGAATACGCGCACTTCAACTCACGCAGAGCCATCTCGAACACAATGATCGAAGAAATTTGGAAGTTCACCTTTGTGCTGCACTGGCCTGTGTAAAGTCAAGTACTTTTCGGCCTTCATGAACTGCGCCGCACTGCCTGAACTTGCCATTCCGCCCTCATTGCGCTGTATGCTAGCAGAGCCTTTTTGGACGCACTGCAATCTGTCCACCTGTGAGATGGCCCCCTGGCTGCACATGATTCCTGACACGATTCAGGCCTGGCCTGAAGTGTACTTCTCCCACTCTGCAGATATCCTCGCTTGGACAGTACTGAACATTCAGGTGCAATTTGTTTGTGACCATAAAGGCTGAGCTCAAGAGCAACCTCGTGGCGGCTTTGGCACCGCCCAGTTGACATCATCCTCAGTCGGTCATGATCCTAGTTGGCGGTTACGTGCCTGGATGAGAGCCTTAGCTCCTGGCGAGCAGCAAGCCCATGCAGTCACTACGCACAGGTGCGGGCCCATGTGCAGCCCACTCCCTGTGCAGGCTCAGGGAGTCAATGGCTGCAATCTGCGAT